AATAACTTGAGTATTTAATTAAACATGAATAGTTGCAACAAACTACAAAGTAATTACATACGTAGAAGGAAATAGATATATTTACAGATGAAAGAGAATCGACCGTCTTTTACATGTGAACATATTTCAGTCGCATCGTCGTCTTAATCGCGGAATCGTCTGCCTTCTATCATCGGAAAAGTAAAAGATTTATTCTCATAGCTTGTCGCGTCATCCGATTATAATGAATGATGCCATCCCACAACTGCTCGTCCATCCTGATGGAATGCGGCCTCGCATTCTCGTAGCACCACCATCTCATCTAGGGATCTGAAAAATAAAATTTAAAAAAACAAAAAAAAAAAACAAACAAACAAAAATAATAATAATAATAATATAATAATTTTTAGTTACTATTGAGGGAAAAGTCGTCTTAAATGGTTTATGTCAGCCATCTTCCCTTATCATCTTAACATCCTCAGAAATAACGGCGTTAGCTCTTCTTAAATGCTCTTTCAGTGTTCGTTCATCTTTAATAGTCTACCTGAATACATACATTTCAAAACACGTCTAGATTCGTCTTCGTATTTACGTCTTTTTAAACATCGTCTGAATACGTCTTCTGAATGCGTCTTCTTAGATACCGTCTGGATACGTCTTCTGAATGCGTCTTAGATATCTTCAAGATCCGTCAGTCGAATGCGTCTTCTCAAAATCATCTTCTTTAAGCCGTCTTCCTTTATACATTTCATCCTTAGACATCATCTTCAGTCTTCTTAAATTAGTTCACGTCTTTAAAATAATAGTCCATTAGTCAAATCGGGAGAAATTTGTCTAGTCGGGAAAAACGTCTAAATCAGGAATCATCAAAATTGATATTTCATTATGAAAGATTTTCAGTTTTCTTCCTGGATCTGAATCTGCTTTTCCGCTTCTTTTTTCTCACCTTCTTTAATTTCCTTTTGTTCCGTCTTTGCTTTCCGTATCAGCGTCGTTGTGATCAGGTTTTCTGACTGACTTCTGCTTTTCAATCTTCTCTTCTTCTTCGTTGGTCTCTGTAGATTCTTCGTCTCCAGCGGCTTCTTCTCCTTCTTTATTGTAAGGTATTTCACTGAAATTGTTCTAGTAGAATTCACATTTGATTCATCATCTTTAGCAACTGATTCTTCTTCGGAAAAATGATTCTCTTCAGAATCTCCTTCTGCAGTGTCGTTTCTCCTCGTTGGCTTCGAAGCTAATTGTATTGTGCTTGAGTTTCCTTTTTGCACTAATTCAAATTCATCTTTAATAGCATCATTTTCGTTTACAGAAAGAATCTGCGTCACTCGGGACATCATCAGAATTCACAATAAGGAAATCAATGCCACTTGCTTTAACTGTAGATGAAGTATCCAGTTTGATCACATTCTGTATTGTAACAGGAACTATACTAACAGGATTAGTTTCTGGTTTTGGGAAGTAAAAAACCATAATTAACAACTTTTTCAAATCCTTCTTCAGAACCATTTCCATTGCAATAAGCATTTTTCAGCTCTTCAGAATCATTTTCAGATTTCTTGTTTTCTGCGATAAAACAAATATTTGATCTAAATGAAGAACCATCAATTTCGGAATTCACCTTCAAATCTTTCCTATAGACTCTATAGGTTTGTCCATTACCAAATTCCCGTTTAACTGTAGATCTGCCGACTTTAAGTTCAGGAGAACCTATCTTCTTATGTATATCTTCTCGGATTAGCGTTACTTGACTACCAGTATCTATTAAAGCATCAATTTGCAAATTACCCAAATTAACAGTTTTATGCATTTCTTTCTGACAAGTCTGAGTTATTGGAGTTACAGTTTTGGCATCTTGGATATTTTTAGATGATGTTTTTCGAACAATCTACGGCTTTGTGTCCAAACAAATCGCATTTAAAACACTTAAATCCTTTACTCTTTATTGTTACAAAAGTTCGACTTTATGGCCTACCTAAACTTCCACAATTATAACACCTTGGCTCTTTAATCTTACTAGGTACAGCGCGTGTTTATTTTGTGTGATTAGTTACTTGAATAACCCTTATTTTTCGTATCTGGAACGCGAATTTTCTCATATATTTTTAATTTCTCTTTGAATTCAGAAATAGTTTTACACCCATACAAAACAATTTTGTTACTACTCTGATCTGGTATCCCATTGATTACATAATCAAGAATTGATGAATCATCAACAGAACCTCGACTGGCTATTTCACGCATGGCAATTAAATATTCGGAAAGTGATTCACCAGGTTTTAAGTGTCGTTTCTGTAACAAATTATGAAGTTGTGCACTGTTTATTTTAGAACCAAATTCAGATAAAAGATTTTCTTTTAATTTTTTCCATGATATTATACCTTTCAAAGACCTAATAAATACTTTAGCAGAACCAGTAAGCAATTTTTTAGCAAACACAATTTTCTGTAATTCCGATAACTTAAATAATTTAAAAGATTCTTCTAAATCACCAATGAAGGATTCAACTGGATATGTATCAGTGCCATTAAATTCAGAAACAGTTTCTAAGATATCACGAAAAGTAGGGAAATATTGCTAGGCATTATAATGTTTTCATTCACTGAGTTATTTGTGAGAGGTGATTCTGACCGAACAGAATTAATATCATCATTTTTATCAGAATCATAAACACTTTCGTTTTCAGATAACTCATCATCGTCATCACTTTCGGATTTTAAAAGCTTAAAAATCACAAAGACTATTCAATATCAAATCACAGTTTTTATCAGGATTTGAATCATAATTAAGATGTAACAAATTACACACAGAAATAAAATCATTTGCAGTAAGAGTTTTAAGTAATTTTGTTTTGTTTCTTCAATATTAAAATCAGATGGAAAACCGCAAAAGTTACGCAATCTAGCTCTATTTTTTCGATCACCCAAAGTTCCAAACACAATTTGATGTAAAAGTTTAATTGACTTAGTAGGCCCAGTCTTTAAAGAATTTGAAATTCTAGGAATAGAATTTAAGGTAGTCATCTTAATTCACAGTATCATAGAACACTATTCTTAGAAGTAACAATGTGGAAATAATCGAAACAAAACTTACTTCTCTTATTTTGTAATATTCATAATGCTTCTTCCTAGGCTCATCGCGGCCGGAGCGCCCAAATCTGTAGAATCGGATTTATTGTCTAGGAATATGATGTTGTAAACTTACTTCTTAGTTGGCTGTCTAGGGGCTAATAAACTAGTCCAATTTACAAATAACTTGAGTATTTAATTAAACATGAATAGTTGCAACAAACTACAAAGTAATTACATACGTAGAAGGAAATAGATATATTTACAGATGAAAGAGAATCGACCGTCTTTTTACATGTGAACATCTTTCAGTCGCATCGTCGTCTTAATCGCGGAATCGTCTGCCTTCTATCATCGGAAAAGTAAAAGATTTATTCTCATAGCTTGTCGCGTCATCCGATTATAATGAATGATGCCATCCCACAATAATATAGTACGTGCCTCTCACTCATTAAATCTTATTCAGTGCCATTGTTTTCGGATAAAGAAAGCTTTCAGAAAACAACTGAGCGGATAAAAAAAGCAATTCAGTTATATGAATTAGGGGCAAAAAATTAAGCTTAACACCAATGCAGCCAGAGAATACGACTTTAAAGGGACTAGGGTATGCAAATGTAAAGTATAATATAATTGCTTAAAATAATTTTTCTATTTTTGGGTGCCCCTCATTTACGTGCGATCTACGTACATGCATCTACGTACGTTTTAGCATCTACGTACGAAATAAGGTCTTGGCTCCTGTTTGAGCAGAAGCTTGTAGTTATAAACGGTTCAACTCCTTTTTGAGATTAGGCAATAACTCTACTGATATTGCATAGATTCCCCGCTTTCTTGATAGAAGAAAGAAGGAAGCTTGAACGATGCGGATGATGAAATCATGGTGAATTTTGATCAAAAGAAAAGAAAAGCAGTAGCCAAGATTAGCTTCCTTAGTTCAGTAGTAACTTACCAATCTGCAGAACAGAAGGTCAGAAAGTCGAGTCTCTGTTGTAGACAAGGTATTACAACTTATCTTTTGTTAGCAATATTTTGTAGTTTCCGATTGATGCAAAGAATTACTTCTTCAAATATGGTAAAAAGTTTAGGACCAACTACGTTCACATGAATGTTGGGGAGCAGTGCTATTATTTTGTAATCTATTATTTTGAATTAATATTTTTATAAATGACTCAATATAACAGTGTACCTTAGTAGATGATTACTACTTAGCAGGTGATACAGTGTACCCAAGTATGCTCAGTTATGAACCAAATACTTCAAGCTGGAATGAAACTTAGAAAATCTCAATATTTGATTTACTGTTATATGTTCATTTTTAATCTTTTTATTATTATTATTAATATCTTTTCTAAACAAATAAATGCTCCTGCGAACTTTCTATTTAAATTCTTTGAACAGTATAGTCATGCAGTTAAATTACAAATCTGCTGAAAACCTTCGCCGCCCCTTTTTTTAAATCGTATGGTAGGAAGCTATATGTTACTTAGGTTAACTCAGATGTAGCAAATCTAGTTCAAAAATATTTCTCATATGTGAACTAAATGTTCCTCAAATAGTAATTTTTATTTTTTCAAACTTTTAATTATTTTTAACTACCACGTGGAAGAAATCAGAAATAACTTTCATACAAATTAATATTTGTGCAAAAAAGCTCATTTACTAAAATACTGGGGTAGGGGACTCCGGGCATATATAAAAGGACGATAAACTGTGTTGTCATGAAATATTTTTGCAGCTTTTGCATTGCACACCATATCCTGTAAATTGAGCCCTTTAATCGTTTTTAAATTTGCGAATAACCCCCAAAATAGTTATAAAAACAACTTTAGGTTTGCGTCGGATTGAAAAGAAAAAGAAGATAAAGAAAAAACCACTTATAAAGAACTACGTTTGTTGATGTTCCCCAAGCTCGCAACGTTGTTCCAAAATTGGCGCTCCTAGAATAGTGGAAAGATGCCTCTTCCAATGGCAGAGCTTCAGCATCTTCTCAACTTTCCTTCTGCGCTCTCAACCACCCTCCAATTTTTTTTTTCTTCTCGCATCATTATTGTTATTATTTTCTTCTACGCTGTTGCCCCTGACCTGTAACCTTGGATTAAACAACATGCATGACATTCGGATTAGGTGCACCTAACACAAGGTAAGTCGAAATTCCGATTACGTGAAAGAGGATTAAGTCATCTGTTACGAAATGGGAGCCAGAGAGGTATTCTTGGCTTAGACTAGTGTTGAATGGGCATCACTGAGAACTGGGAGGTGGCTAAGAAGTACTCACAGAGTTGAATGTCGGTTAGTTTCCTTAGGATACGCGAATATGCAGTACTCACTTCCGGAAGTAATGCATGGTTTGGGTTTGAAAGCTCCCACATAACGTGTTTATAAAAAATGATGTAATAAAACAACGAGTTTTGAGTGATTTCGAAACATTTCCGGAAAAGTTTTTAATACGCTTCTTTATTAGTTAGTAACATAAAATATTTCTTATAATCCGAACGTTTTCTCACAAAAAGAATGTGTATTATTTAAATTTTTCATGGTCATTTTGATGCTTTAGTAAAACTGATTAATTAATCATTGAGCTAAAAGCTATTGTAGTCAAAAGTTGAATGTGACTTATGTTGACTTAGTAAAACGAGTAATTATACTTTCGATATTGCACCCATATGATATCTTCTGATTTTGGCAGATTCCGTTTTTTTATTGCATTATTTTCTTTCTGTTTTTTGCAGGTTTTTAATATTATTTATTTCCATTTTATTGTATTTTATATTATCTATGATTAACTGATACATATGAATGTTATATTTATGGTAATTATTTATTTATTTGTATTCAAAAACAAAGTTAAAGGTTTTAGGCATCAGTTTGCAGTATAAGGTCAAAAATTACACAAGAGCGCTTTTTAAATCCCTATTCAGATAATGCTCATACGTTGTGAAAATGAAACATTACGTTACTGAAAAGTCAGGAGTTTATCAACTAAAATTCTAACTTAGTTATTCTTAATAAATGCATGAAAACGCATTTCGTTTTTGTATATAAATGAAAGTAGTATATAACATATGGACTTACATATTAATTTTTAATGTAAACTTTTAATTTACTTTATTAGCTATTAGTTTGTATTTGAGCAGATAACATTCTGCAAAAGCATGCTTGTTTAGTTATTCGTAATACATAACGTATATACATAACATGTTTTTTGAAACAATAAATCAAGTAATAACTGTATACGTTTAACCATTAATCTTAACTGTATACGTTTAACTATTAATTAACGCAACATTTTTGTTTATAGTTTCAACAATTATTACGCAAACAGGGTTTAATTATATGATCAGTCATTGTTTCTTTAACAAAATATTAACTGAGTTGCTTGTAGTTTGCATATGCATGTGCATAAAAACTCTTTTTTTGAAACAATATAGTAACTTAAATTCGAAATTTTAATTTTAGCATTCGTCTTAGGGAAGAATTTTATTTGTTTTAGTTTCAGAGAGGTTTTATCATAATAATTGTAGTAGTTCAAATATATATCTAAAATATTCCATATATTTCAGAGATTTCTTTCGGGAAGAAATTTACATGTTTCCATTACATCTGTACGATGTGTTCTGCAGAAAATTACTTCGCATGTTAAAAAATCTTCATTTATTCAGTTTCACAAAAATTACTGTGCACTGTTTTATGAAATTAACAATGTGTAATTTTTGATGCACGTGAGAAATAAATGTGTACACACAGCACTCTTTCAGTCTATAACACCATGATATTTTGTTTAAGTTGTAAAGTAAACTAAATTATAAAACTATATACTATTTCAAGAAAGTAAACTTTAATCCAATATAAAGTATTTATTTTCTAGTTATAGTCATACGTAAAGATATTTTATTTAAATATTTTTATCTATTAGTTTATAAATTTCAAGTTTAGAATTTTATGTATTGTTACATTTTGGAATATAAACCCACAAAGAAAAATTTTAAGTGTTCACATATGGGAATTTTATTTCATTCTTAACTGAAAATTGCACTTGCTTTTGTTGCTGCATTTTGACCATAGTCCAGTAATTTTCAAACTTTTTTCAAGTGGGGGTTCACTTTTATAAATTAGGTTTTGTGGACTACTTTATTCTTATCTCCTTCGGTAGCAAGTTTTGTAGCATATGCTACTACCAATATATTTTTAATATTTTTAAAATGCAGGTAATTAAAATTTAGTTAATTTTATATTAATACTAAGTAATTAAGCTGACAGAAGAAAATTCGTATTCGGTTTTTGAAATTTAAGGCTATTCGAAATGAGGTAGATGAGCTTGTTATTTTTTGCACAGCTGTTTTGTGTTTGGATGTATGGTGTAGTCATACATCCAAACTGTGATCGTCGCATAAATCAAACTAACTTTAGTACTTTTTTTTTATTTAAGTGGATGAAGAAAATTCTATCTCGCTGAGATACATAGAAGCAAATATAATTATAATTTTTAAAGCATAATTGTACAGTTCACTATATTCTGTTTCCACTGGTAATGAGCTCAGCGATCGCTGTTTGAATCCCTCTTTTGTTGTCAACTCTATTGTGAAAAGACCATAGACAGGTAACCGCTAATGTATTTCATAAAATGTCGATATTGTGAGAAAGGTGATAGAAGAAAACCATATGTAATTTCGAACCTTTGAGATTTTCAGCTATAGGGCAGTATATGCAGTTAAGCTTGAAATGTTTTTTTTTTTTTTTTTTTTTTTTGTCTTTTTTTAATCTAGAACGGCCACAAGGATGGGCTTCGAAGACCACTTTTGGCCTCCTGGCCATACTAATTCAGAAGTCAAATAACAAAAATCAGCGTTATATTTTCCAATTTTCACAGGACTAGTTTCGATGGTTTTACCGAACCACCATCCTCAGCTGCAAAAACGCAAATGGAATGACCATAGTTTGTGAAACGCTGCCACAGTCAATATAATTTTTTGTACCTTCGTTCTTTACGAGTTAAAACATTATTTTTTTAATCAGTGTCCTATACTATCTTGAAGGCTACCTGCTGCCGTTTCACATAATTTTGGGCCTCTGTGGAGGTGATCATTGGAATTGAAGGATTAATTGATCTAATATCTCTGCCTGACATTTTCTTAATCCGAAATCTTTCTTAATACTCTACAGTTTTCCATCATCATTAACACTGGTTTGCTTTTATTGTACTTTTGTAGTTTTAATCGTTTTGAATACTGTTTTTTCTTATTGCCGTTTTCGAAGTTTTTATATTTTAACCATTCGGCTCTTTTTCCATATTATTTCCTGTATTAAACATTTCCTCCTTCTGTGTTTCACCCACTTGTTTTGCCTTACCATCAGAAAATTACCATTTTTGGAAGCTATGTCTAAAACGCATGGAATATTTTAACACTGTCCAATTTTTCCTTAAATCAAACTTCAGAATATCATACCCAAACTTACGCAAGTCAAAAGAAATCTTAAATTCTCTGTTTGTGTTTCCAAAATCATGCATAAATTCAAATTTTCACGTTTTTGTTCCATTCTAAAAAACACGTATAAAGTCTGTCTGAGTTATACTACTTTCATTTGAAAATTGCCAATTCAGCTTTTAATTTTTTATCTAATGGTTATAATTATTGGTCTAGATACCAAAACTGCTTGTCAACGCCTGAAGACAGTTCTTGACTGTAAATCCCGAATGTTTAAACTCCAATCATCTATCACCGCGCAAACTGGTAACTGTATAACTGTTCATACTGATTATGTTTTTAATATCTGTAATAGGGATACCTTGCAGGATCGAATGAAAGTACTGAAGTATAACTTCAATTTTTAACACACATGTAAACTTTCAACTCTCCGAAACTTTCACTCTCCAAATTTTAAGGAATTTAAAATTCTATTAAGAAAGGTTTCTAAATTCCTTAAAATATCGGAAGTAAAGAAAGATACAATTCACCACTTAAATATTCACGAAAATAATTTCATTATTAATTCATTTTTTTCGAATCTTAACCAAAAAGAAAAGCAGACTTTAAGTAAATTCCTCCTAATCCAACATTTTTATTTTCAAAGCAGATAAGAATGGGCAGATCGTTGTTATGCCCAAATAACATTAATGGAGTTACGAAACTGAAACGTAAAGCCCATACTATTTGATCTCTAAAAATCTTTCAGCTTTCTAATATCTCGAAAGTTAAAACAAATTTTAAGTCCTCTCACATATTTCCAACTCTTTAAAAAAAATTTCATTCCAGTTATTGTTTGCTAAGTTTAATGTCCTTTCGAAATTTCACGCAACTGGAAATCCGTTTCGCCTAATAACTTTGGAACAGCATTACATGTTTTAACCAAACATTTGTTTTCTAAATTTTATCTATTAATTTCTTAATACATCTGCGCCGCAAAAATTGTCTTGAATCATCGAATCATTTGTCCCACCAGGGGCCAAGCGGTAAAGTCCCTGAGCATTGGTAATTCGGTCTGAGGTTCGAATCTCGCGAACGGGCTGGTTGCATAGACGTTTTCGTGATTTTCCCCATGTGTAACGTGTTAATATGAGACGTCTTCTCTTAGAAAATTCTTCACAAAGGCAGCCTTATCTTCCGTGTAGTGCCTTAGGGCGGAACAGGTAAATAATATTAATAATCTAAAATCTTACGTATATTTCGCCGTCGCACTCAGTTATGCTTTTTTTATGTTAAAGCACTGTTTACTAACGGTTAAGAGAGCATTAAATTGTCTTGAAAACAGATTTTGAAAATGAAATTTCACATCTGCTTAAATTCATGAGTTAATTTCTCTTGCTAAATCATTTTTCAGTCAAATCCACTTTCCTTTCCGAAATAATTACTATTGCCAAACTGAAGGATTACCTGGGATTGCCTGTAACTAATATTTCAGTTTGGCGATAGTAGTTATTTGCATTTTGAGGTAATAGTTGGATTTAAACTAATAATTTGATAGTAATTATTTGCATTTATTGTATTTTGAAGTCATGTCTTTCTGGCATAACCCCAAAAAGTGCCTCAGTCTTGTTGATACTATTTACACGTACTGTTCTGAGTTCATTATATGAAAACGTATCTTTTCAGCTTTGGATTTACTACGTTGATGACGCATTCGCGCAATTTGACTTGTAATAAA